ACTAGCACTAGCACTACCACTACCACCACGACGACGACGACGACGACTACTACTACTAACTACTTCGACTTCTACTACAACGGCTGCTGCCGCTACTACTATGACCTTTTCCTCATGCTGCTGCTGCCACCACGACTACTACAGCTAAATCCGCAAACAACAACGCGAGGACAACGATGACGACGACCACGAAAACGACGACAACAACAACCACCACCACCACTACGACTACGATGACGACTACTACTGCGCAATCGGTCGTCCTTCACATGTCCACCAGCCCGACCTCAAGCAGATGCCGGCAGGCCCCAACCCCTGCCTGCATGTCTCTCTTGTGTGAGGTGATGTGGAGCTTGATGAACGCCTCAACCTGACCCGAGTCCCTCAAAACTCTGCAGGACTACATGCTGGCTCTACGAGTATCTAAAACATATAAAAATATAGAAAAGCGCCGAGCTTTGAGATATTTTGAAGCAATATGCTAGTCAGTTCGGCGCAGGGCACTTTCATGCAGGAAGCCGCTGCATCTGAAATTCCTGGAACCTTCCGGGAAGCTGCGAGCCAGGCTTTTAGAGTCCGGCTCCCGCAGCTACTACTTCTGTTGAACCGAACCTCCAAACCGTTTAGATCCGTAAGGCATGGCGAGATGACCGCTAGCTCTCAAAAATGTGACGGCGCAATTTCAATAACCCTTTTTTACAAATAACCCAAAACCTAAACCTTATAAACCCTAAACCCGCTCGACGGCTTGCCTCCTTTTTGTCCTGCACTCCAGTATCCTGGCCACGACAAGCTCCGGACATCGAAGCGCCAAAGAGAATACTGATACGTGCCTACAAATCTGATTTATGTGGCACGCTCTACTCCATTCTATTCTATTCGAGTTATGGTATTTTGTTGCAGTAGGTGATATTTTTGTTATTGTCTATCAACCTCTATACTCAAGAACTAAGTTGTCATGCAAGGGTATTCCATGTTCCACAAGTGCGCAATATGCTGTGTTTTTGTGTTGTTTCTGATATTACAGCAGTGAAAAGCCTAGCAATATGTTAAGCCGTACACTAAAATGTTCCATTCCTCTATGATGCATTACGTCGTCTCTAACTTTGTACACTGAACGTAACGCAACCACATTGAAATGGTACTCATTGTGCACGGCTCTATTATGTCATACTATGTTCTTTCATGTTGTCTTACGAAATATCATGTGTAAGCCCCATTGCTGTATGATACCATATGATATCATAGTCGAACATAACTTACTACGTTGTATTCTGCTGCACTGCAACGGATCCATTATGGAACATCGTACCTGTGTGTTATCTTATTTTCCCTTTCGCTCTGCCGAGGCTGCGGGGTTAATGGTTGTTATCGGCTATACTGTATGGACATGGTGTCTGGGTTTATGATGATGCACAAATTCAGCTTTATCTATCAGGTACTCCATCATATGATACCAGATCCTCCTGTATTGTAATATAACTTGATATGTTGCCTTGTGCTATCTTTGTGTTCGATGTGTCTCTTTGGAGGTATGCATCACTCAACCATGCATGTATGCATGCATGGATGTACGTGAGTTCTGTTTGCATCGCTGTACTATGTGTGCATGCATGTATGCATGTGCATGCGCAAACATGCATGCATGTACGTGTGTATGCGTGTATGTGTTGCTGGACGCGTGCATGTGTGCATATGCGTGTGTACACATACATGTATGCACATGTATGTTTATGTATGTACCTACACATGTACATCGGTATTTTGCATAAACTTATACATGTATTTTAAACTCTGAGCAACCAGAACAAGGAGTAGAGATTATTGGTGGCGGGACTCTCTGTAGTTTCCTTGAACGGCATGAGGCAAGCACATTTCTTTTGGAAATGATATATATATATATATAAAGGTGTGTATATATATATACATACATACATGTGTATATATATATATATATGTATATGTATAATACATTCACTTATGGGAGCGTATGCTGTGCGTAGCCCAAGCCTTGCTTGACACTGTCGACATCATAGAACAGTTATCAAGCTGGCCATCAAAAGGAGTGCAGCAGACCACCTGAAGCCGAACTTCACCTTCAAAGCCTTGGTCGAGGTTCAGGCTGTGTCAGATCGGTTTAGGCTGGTGCGCTTGGCGCGGCACCCGGTCCAAGACAAGGCTTCGGGTTTGGGGCTTCCGCCAAATTCTATTCAACCGGGTCACTTTCCCAACCTATTCTTCTTGCGGTGGTTGGCTCTTCAAGGGGTTTCTCGTGAGAGGGAAACCTGGGGTCTAAAAGCAACCAAACTGATGCTGTGATGTCGGCGGTAAGGCGTTGCGGAAGAAAAACATCCTTGCTGCTGTGTCGCTCCTGGGTTCTACTTTGCGGAAAGCTGGCTCAGGACCAACTGACTGGTAGTGCTGCGACTTACCGACAACCACCGCCAACGTTGTTGCTGCTGCTGCTCGTCTCTACAACGACTAAGCCGACGAATACTATGTCTACCCCTGCTCCACCACCACCACAACTACTACTACGACTACTACTACCACTCCTGCTGCTGCTACTGCTGCTATTGAAACGACTACCTGCTACTACTGCTGCTGCTGCTACTACTACTACTACTACTACTGCTACTACTACTCCTACTCCTACTCCTACTCCTACTCCCACTCCCACTCCCACTCCTACTACTACCGCTGCTGCTGCTGCTGCTGCCACTGCTGCTGCTACTGCTGCCTACTCCTCCTCCTACTCCTACTCCTACTCCTACTCCTGCTGCTGCTCCTACTCCTACTCCTACTCCTACTCCTACTCCTACTCCTACTCCTACTCCTACTCCTACTCCTCCTACTCCTACTCCTGCTGCTGCTGCTCCCACGACGACGACTACTGACTACTGCTTCCACTACGGAGCTCCTCCTACTCCTACTACTACCACCACCACCACCACCACTACTATATTACTTATTATTACTTATTACACGTGAGCGTTACATGTTGGTATCGTTCCCACTAGCACCCTCAGCCGGGGCACCATGAGCGGCGACCTGCGAGAAGGGAATTTCAGCCTTACCCAAGAAGTCGTCCTTTTTCCCCACATCCTGCGAAGCTTGGAGTTCAGTCTACAAGCAGCCATAACATTACCTGAATAAAACACCCTACACAATCAACAGCGTAGCATTCAATGATGACAGACGCGATGAGACAACCATTTTGGCTGGCCGCTCTAAGCGAGAGCAGTGAGAGTCCTTGTCGTAGATCTCGAACCTCAGATGCAGATGAGATGCCAGCTAAATCGTTGCGAACCGCACATTTGGAAATCAGCATTGGCGGGACCTCACGATGGCTGGAGTGGGCAAATGCTCTCTTGGCCGTGGCCAAGCTGCATCAGCTTGTCATCCTTGTAGAAGTCTGGAACCACCTCGTTTGGAGAAGGTGCTCTGGAAAACGAAAGAACTGACAACTTCAAAAAGGATTCTGTGAGTCCTGAACTTGGATCGCGGGCTTGGAGGTTCCATGCTTTGGAGAATCTTCGACAACTGCAGACCGTCGACAAACCAAAACTCCATGATCATGTCAAGGCATGTAAGACTCAGACTGTCCAAGGATTGGGATACACCCAGCAGGGGCTTCCCAAGCTCTCCAAAGAAAGTTTTGCGGTCCAGCCACAAGTTGCTCATTCCACTCCGGACTGGTCTTATCGTTGATGGTCCTGCGCGGGCAAGGGCTCGAGGTTGTCTCGCAGTAGGCACCTCCGACTCCGTTTAAGCTGTCTCAAACGATGCCCCCTCTCAGGTTGGGCACGATACCAATGCCCAGCCTGTGAATCAAAACCTTCAACATTCCACGCAGAGGCGAGAAAGGCAGTGCCCGGCATTTCTATCCAGCACCTACCGAATAACCTTCTGCGTGTCACTCCGCAGACACTGTAGCTTGAAGCTCCGGAAATTCCTACACACACACACACCCAACGAGAAATGCAAACACGCACTGGCGACAACGAGAAGCAAAGCTTCAACTCAGGCTTTATAGGATTATAACACAGGCACGAAGTGAAGGCCCTAAACATCACATATGCCCGGATTATCCTTGTTTGTGTTGTACATTACGATGCAATCACCCACCGCCACCACCAAAAAATTGACCTGTAAAGCTGCTTCCTTTACAGGATGATTCCACTGGTCCTGCGCGTTATCGAATGCTGACTCTCAGTCTTGCGGGTGCCAAACGTGTTGATACTATTCGACAGTTGTCCTCCCTGACCGGAAGCTACGATGTTTACTCCTGCTGCTCTTCTGAATGCCATTGCTTTCCCGCAGCGATCCTGTTGATCTTTCTCACGGTAATGGTGACGGTGATGGTGCTGCTGCTGCTGCTGCTGCTGCTGCTGCTACCATTGCCACTTTTGCTGCCGCCCCCAATCCTACTCGCACCCCCAAACCACGACAGCTGCAGCACCACCATCACTATTATGGCGAGGCGGCCATGCTGCTGCGACTGATGCTTCTACTACTACCACCAATCCTCGCCCGGCTATATAGTAATGCAATGCTGCGGCTACTGCAACTCTTACTCCACCTACGGCTGAATTCTATATCTATATCCTCTTCCTCCTCCTACTGCTGCCGCTACTGCTAATGCAATGGCTCCTGCTACTAGTAGTAGTACTAGCGTAGTCGTACTCGTACAAATTAAAAGTACCAGTGCCAGTACCAGGACTAGTACAAGTACCAGTACTAGTACTACTACCAGTGCCACTAGCACTGCCACCACTATACGGCTGACTATCACCACCACGACGACTACTACTACTACCACCACCACTACCACTACCACTATCACTATCACTACCACTGCTACTACTATTACTACTACTACTACTACTACTACTACTACTACTACTACGGCGACCACCACCACGACCACTACTTCTGCATTACTACGACGACTACTACTACTTACTACGACTGCTACTACTACTACTACTACTACTACTACTACAACTACTGCTCCTGCTGCTGCTGCTGCTACTACTACAACTGCTACCACTGCTACTACTGATACTGCTACTGCTGCTGCTACGACTACAACTGCTACTACTGCAAGTGCTAGTGCAAGTACTAGTATTAGAGTATTGGTGCTCGTACTAGTGATTGTACTAGTAGTACTACTGAACTACTACCACTACTACTACTTCTTCTTCTACTACTACTACTACTACCACTACTACTACAACTACTACTAATCCTGCTGCTGCTGCTAATGCTAATGCTACGTACTACTGCTACTGTTGCTGTTAACTACTACGACTACGACGACCAACACGGCAGCTACACCTCTTGCTGCTGCTACTGCTGCCGTCACCTACTGCTGTCGTGCCATCAACTGTGCCTGTGGCGTCTTGTGTCTATATTCTTGTCATATAATGAGCATTGCCTGCAACCGAAGCCAGTGGTGCTCTGAATAGCTGGAAGCAGTCCTGGTCGTATACTGAGTCTTGCCCGTCCCCTTGACGTAGCACTTGCAATACGGATCGGAACCTGAGTTGGCATCTGTTGGTTCTCGCAAGGGCCCAGTAGGTCGTCATGGCCTCCATCATCCCGAGTATAGTGTTTACTTATCCGTCACCTTGCAAACCCTCTGATACTTCTCTTCTGTGCTCGAATGCAATATTATCTAGGTACCTTGGAAAGGTTGCCATTGCTGCAAGATTGAGTGCTCAGATTGAGATGTCCAGGATAACATGAGAAACGATCGGGACCGTTGCAGCTATGAGACCAGTGTTGTAACCAATAAGCCGGACAAAGCTTCCGTCGTGTTGAAAAAGTGTGGCACGGTGATTTGAAAGGTTCAAGTGCTGCCTAAAGGGTATAATGGATAACTCGGGGAGCAAGCCGTGCGTAGATATGCTGTTCGTGCGGCGAGGATATGGTGATTGTAAGCATTCGAACCGTGAGTCTGTCTCTGTGTGGTGTGCGTGTGTGTGTGTGTGTTTCAGGGGGCATGGGCTGCGGGTGTGGGTGGGTGCTCGCGTGTGTGCGAGCCGCTGCATGCATGTTTATGCGTGCATGTGTGTGTGTGTGTGCACGTGCAGACGTGAATGTAAGTACTTGTCTTCTGTATGCATGGGTATGTTTGCATGTCGCATGTATTTGTGGTAAGCACGAGTATCGACAGCCAAGGTGAGCCAAGCGACTCCCGCCGCCCATGAAGTGGTCAGCGTTTCGTAGATTACGAGCCTCAGGACATGTATCGGTGGCCTTTATTCTGTGGCTCGTCTTTCGCGCACAAGAGCATGACATTGGCGCAAATTTTCCTGGCAAGTCCCACCGGGCTTACGGAATGAGCGATGTTTATTGATAGGCACTCTGGTTTTTTGCTCGCATACCTGACGCAAGTAGCCCCGCACGTGGCAGCCTTCAGCTTCGCAATATGAGAGGACTTGTGTCGAACAACAGTCGCGAAATAAATCTGCGGGCTTGAGGCCGCTTCGGCCCGAACCGAGATTGCAAATGGGGATATTGTCGGAAACACAGTAGGTGAAGCTGAACAAGAACATACACAGTCCCGAACCCCGCTTGACTCCCTAAGGTGAGACCCTACATAGCCTGAGACACAACGCTGCAACCCCGAATGCTAAGCATCATGCCGCTGCTGTGCGAATTGCTTGGCTCCCGGCAGATATGATGTTGACCTGATTGGGTGAAGTAACCAGTCTGACACTTTCATGAATTGGTCATCGAACATCGCTTGCGGCAACCTGCGCTGCTTCCCGTGGCAGACTCAACGGCTGTAAGACTCAGGCTTGCAACTTGTACATGCCCTCGAGGTGCGTCGTCAAAGTATTGCCCATCTGCCAACAGTCTCGGTTTGAGGATGGGATAGGTCTGACAATGCTGGACTCGCAACAGCAAGGACTCCATGCACCACTTTCCGCGAGCACGCAAAGTCACACGCACGTGCACCCACAGGCGACCTGCAAGCTCTAATCAAAACCGTGTGAAGCAAACCAGGAGGTCAACCTTATATAACATACATACGCATTTGTACATGTGTATGTATGTACATATGCATGTATGCCTGTATGCATGTATGTATGTATGTATGTATGTATGTATGTATGTATGTATGTACATATGTATCATATATACATGTATGCACATCTGTATATATATATATATGTATAGTAATGGACAAGTCCACCACCATCGACCGTTCGAAACTCGTTTGCCCCAACCTCGAGCTTCCTTTTGGCCACTGTCACTTTGACAGAGATGACCGAATCCTCGGCATGGCAAGACTGAAGGTTCGAGATGTAGGATGTACGGATTTGGCGTCGCTCACATCTGCAAGAATAGCCCTGTTTAACCCAGAAATCATTGAGGCCACTGAACCCTAGACCCCAATAATTTTCGAGGCCCCTAAAACCTGAACCCGAACAATGAAGTATCTAAGCTCCTAGTATATAAGCCCCTAGGCCCTAAGCCCCAATCACTATTGAGGCCCTTATAAACCCTAAAACCCAGTAAAACTCTAGGCCCCTAAAGTAGCCTACACCCCAATAAAATTCTCGGCCCGTAAACCCTAACCCGCAATGAATAACCATAGGCCCCTAAGCCCCAAACCCCTATGATAACTTCGGCCCCTAAAACCCTAAACCCGAAGGCTTGCCTTCCAAACCCTAAACCCTAAACTCTAAAACCCTAACCCCAAGGCTTGCCTTGTTGGCCTTCTTCTTGCCGGTGCTCTCCAGCGGGAGGAGGAAGCTCTGGGCGCCGTCCTCCATGCTTCAGACGCTGAGGGATCTAAGTAATACAGGAGCCTTCCTAGGGCTCCTTCAAAGTTCCCTTTTTTTTGGGATGCCCAAACGGGGCCTTAATAAATAGAGCGGGGGCAAAGCCTGCAGAATTCTGGTGCATCAAGTTCTTGTCAAGAAGACAATCAGACCCTGACACTAAAACCCTTTTGCAAAAGACTTTCGGCTGCTTGCTCCAACCCCGGGCGAAGAGGACACTACAACCCTAAACCCTAAACTCTAATCCCTAAACCCTAAACTTCAACATCCGACGTCCTCTTGGAGCTCCTCCCAGCCTCCAGGAAAGCCGGCTTCGGGGCGGTTTTCGTGAAGGATATCTCTGTGGATGAACCAGTGTGGGTTTAGGGTTTAGGGTTAATTCCTAGTGCTTGCAAAGAAATGCGAAAACACCAAATACCACAACAGCAAAAAAACACCTGGAAACATAGAGCAAGCAAAGGACCCCTCAACCCCTAATCGCCAGGTCTGACGGCCTTCTTCCCGTCGCTGAGCGGTCTGAACCGTGAACTGTGGTCTTGTTTTGGAATTGGAAGTTTCAGAGAGCAGCCTTACAGTAATATAGACTTACAGACCCTGGATCCTAAGTACGACCATGTATAAACAAGGGCCCGTAGATGAGGAAAGTCGGCCTTTCCTCTGGCCTTGGATCCTGGCTTCAGCTCAACAACAAGAACGTTGAACCAGCATAAGCAGCGCAGAGGCACACCCCCATATTTGCGTAAGGTGCCTATAGATGCGATGCCAAGAGAATCGTGCTTTCCAACCACATCGTGATCCAGAATCTCGAAGCAAAGTTCGTCACCTGCGGCGGGAGACTTGCACAAAGTCGAGATTTTGGGTTTCCCGTCAGGAATACTGCAGCTACCTTTAGGCTTTGTCGGTTTGTGTGTGATGCCGCGGTAATGCCTGCACAGGGGCCTCCAGGGGCCGTTACAGGCGCAACGTGAATCGAACCTACCACTTTCCTGTAGGGCCCTTGTGATGGTGCCTGGTCTTTCGCTGTAAGTTTTTCATCTGGTCAGCCGCAGCAAGAAATAGCAGTGCGCGCTGGCTCGTGATCTCTCCGAGCCCAAGGCCATCATGCATGTCGTTGATCTTGGCGGTGTGATTCCAGACTGGATCCCGATTGTTCTGCACGACCTTCGTCTTGAAGCTGGACTTGCCTTGGTAGGCAGAAACTGTTAACAAACACCCCTACACTCCTACACCCCAACCCCACACCCCAAAACCTTAAGCCCAAGGTTTGGGGGTTTATGCAACCCTGTAGGCCTTAGAGTTTTAATATTATATCATCGTCCATGGCCTTTAACATGGAGAATGCTACGTTATATGGAATTTGCGCCAGAAAACGGCAGTTTTTCAGCAACCCCCAGACGTGCCAAGCCAGCAAATGCCTGCAAAGTCCATTTTTTGGGAACCCTTCTCCAAATTATGGCCATCCGCAATCTCAGAAGCTCCCGGCATCACCCATCTCATTACATCTCTATTGCATTTCTACTTCTAGTTCTATCTACCTTAATTAAGGAATAGACTGTAATAGGGTTCCTTTCAGGGTACCTATAAGGGTACTATGATAGGGTTCCTTTAAGGGAGATTACCAACATAACAACCCGCCCCGACAGACCCGCCCAGAGTTATGAGCCGGTGTTGCCAAAGCAATCAAAGGAAAATGATTGCATTCCGGTGTTATCGCAATCAACAACACATGGCATGAAAGCGTGCAACATGTGGCAATGCAGCATACGGACTCTCGAATGTTTTATCGCTGTACTGCGAAGGCTGTTGAAAAGGTTGCGCGAAATCGGGAGGATGGAGTAGAATGCATGTCCATTTACATGCATCCCCGACCGCGTGCTGTGCCAACTGCACCTCACGCAATGAAAACTCCCCGCTCAACGAGTGACAGTGGCACA